CTCTGTATTGTCTGTACTGTGCTTGTGATGTTGTAAAATGTTGTATGTCTGTTAATGTTTCCCTCCTTTTATCTTTAAAATAAAAATAAAAAATAAAATAAAATTTAAAAAAAAAGGACCCTTATACACTGTCGGTGGGAAAATAAATTATTATAGCCGCTATGGACAAGAGTGAGAGTTCTTCACAAATCTAAAAGTACAACTATTGTATCACCTAACTCTTCCATTCCTGGGTGTAAATTTGAAGGAAATGGCAGCACACAAAAGAGATACATACATGATCACATTTATTGAGCCCCTAATCACAGTAGTTGAGAAACCAAATCACCCTAAGTGACCATCAAAAGACAAATGGATAAGGGAAATATGAGTATATATATATGTGTGTGTATCACTTAGCCATAAAGAAGAAACTGCTATTCTTCAGGAAAACAGATGAACTCGGAAGGCATCATTTAACAGAAATAACCCAAACTAAGGAAGACAAGGAAGAGGTATCAGTATTACTAGATAACGGGAAAGGTCTCATTGGTAATAGAGGCAAAGGTAGAAGAAGTGGGTGGTCATAATCAATGCACAATATATGCATGCTTGGAAAAATCACTGTGAATCCCAGTAATTATGCAATCACTATGTGTTAGTAATTGTAAAAATTCTAAAAGAAAGCAATGGACATTAAAAGGTACTTCACAAAAGAAAAGCAAAAACAACTGCATCAAACATCTTCTTTGGGTGATGAAAATGCTCTCAGACTGAATCATGATGATGGTTGCACAGCATGGTCAATTTACTGAAAAGTAGTTGGATTATACAATTGAAATGGGGAGAATTGTAAGATATACTAAATGTGCTTAAAGTTGTTAATAAATGACCCATTTTCTTTGAAACAGTGTTTTGAGACTTGGTAGTGCAAGCTGGCCTCGCTCTCACTGTGTAGCCCAGACAGGCCTCAAACTCTCCACTATCCTCCTGCGTCAGCCTTCTAAATGCTGGGATTGTATTTGTGAGCCACCACACCCAACCAATCCATGGATATTAAAAAAAGAAAAGATTAACAAAACTAACAGATTACTAAACTGACTGATACTCATATGCCCAAAAGCAAAATAAAACAAAAATACTCAATTTACAAAAATCCAAAATGAATGTGAATAATATGGATAATTCCATGCCAACTAACTAGGTAACCTAGAAGTAATCACTTAGTACTCAGGAGTGATAGAGTATCAATTTCACAATTTACGCTTAAATGATTCGGGGGAGAAAGGGCTATGTTTTCAACTGTAGTTGCAACTTCTGAAATTGTTTTTCAAAAAGGAAGTAAAAAGAGTGCTATGGCAGGTTGGTATTCATAGATAGGCTTGTTATAAGAAAGGAAGAATGTCCAACTTCAAACAATAATAGTTTGCTTCTAATGAGAACAAAATTCATTAAAGCATAAGCCTTGTAACTCACAAACACATGCACTCAAATGTCTGAATTTGTGGCTTCAGATGTGGAGTTGTTTCAGGATCATCCAAATTTGTGGAGCTGTGGAGCAAATGGTTAAGTGCTGTGCAGGTCACTGGAGATGAGGATGTCAAGGAAATGAAATGCAGAGGTATGGGAGAGGCAGGCAAGAGGAGCTGAGAATCTGTAAGATGACTGTAGGATTTAGGAGGAGAGATAGAACATAAATTAGGTTCCACAGCTGTGGAGGAAATAAGGAAGAAGAAGCTATAAGAAGAGTATGGAGGCAGAAGGTTCTACATAAGAAAGAAATGAACTTCAAAGGGGTCGAGAAATAATAAAGTGATAGTACAGAGATAGTAAAGAGTAGGAACCCTGACCCCTAATTTTAAATAAGCTCTGGAGAGACCGTGCTTGGTTGGCCTGATTCTGCCACAAAGCCAATACTTTAGGGACGACTTCATAGGGCAGAAATCGAAGAAGTTACAAGCAGCTTGGCCTGAAATTGCTGTCAAGAAATCAATGATACAAACAATTTTCTGTAATTTTCTTCTAGTCTACTTACAGAGTGACCTAAAAGGGAACACTAGCCAAGTATTTGTGCTGACACCTATTTTATTATCAATGGGCATTTAGAGCGCAAGATTCACAATGCCACCTGTTGCGCATGGCACAAGTTAGAAACATATCTATTTTACTGGTACAATGATACAAGAGCACCCTAATTTGAGATAAGGTGTGTAGGTAGACATATATATATATACACGTTAAGTATATATATGTATATTTGTATGTATACATATATATATATCTCACTTGTATGCATGCATAGAGGTGTACCCACACATATACACTACATTTGTTATAGACAAGATTGTTTTTCAAATTATAAAAGAAATCACCATATATTCTATCCAAATAATTATCTTCTCTACCAAAAACCCATGTAGTGAAGAGGAAAAGAACAACACTGAGACCGAGGTGTCTGGCAAGTTGGAGATGTTGTGCAAGCTGTTTATTTATCTGATTATTAGTTCAACTTACTTGTGAAAACTATGATAGTTAAAGTTCCTTTGAATTTTAATGTTAAACCATTTGTGATTTTTTTTTTTTTTTTTTGGTTTTTCTCCGGTACCAGGCCATTTGTGATTGTATTTAAACGTGACTATATAGAAACGTTTGGTATATGAAGGAAATACCTATTTATTCCTTTAACATTATAATTCTAAATATAGAAATTTATAATTAGAATACAAATTTATAGATCACGCTATTATAATGTTTTAGTAGATGATTTTACTATTTGTCACTTTTTTACGTTTAATGTCATCTCCATTGTATACACTGCACACAGGAATATCAAAATGATATTTCCTATGAAAATTTTCTATGAAAATGAAGCATACACTTTTTCCTCTTTTGTTCTTTCCCATTTCTAAACTTGTTTATTTCTCTCTATGCACCAATCTCTAATACCTAAAATCTTAGCATACTAATAAGTGTGGGATATTTCCAAGCACCTTGAGACCACTAGGTAGTGATTTTTAACATGTCTTAATTATTTTTCACAGAAATATTCCCCTTTCTAATACCCAAATCATAACAAGATGATAGTTTTTCTATTTATCATTTCTTTCTTATATCATTCATTCTTAGGGAAATCTGTTTACCACGCCCTTGCCCATGGTAAACTTCTGTTAAACTGTAAACATTTCAAGAAGAACATATATTGTCACTGCACACTCTCTTATTTGGAAGGAAAGGAAATGATTTAGCATTTGAGAGTTTTTTCTTTTTATGGATTAAAAGGAAAGCACAAGAATCTAACAGCCTTGGAGGAAACTCAGCTTACTTTTGCTTTAATGCACCCAGAAGATTTCAAATCAATACTTACCATTAATGTTTTAATTGAGAATTAACATCGCTATAATTGGAAGTGAGGATCAGCATGCTGATGGGAAGGAGGTGATGTGTTGGGGGAGGTCATCACACTGGGGAGCGCAGCAACAGAAAGGAAAGCACAAATCATTTGTTCCCCTGAACAAGGGCACACAGTAGACACTTGAGTTGGTCAACTGTAATTTGTTTCGAGAGCCAGAACCTCTGGCAACACTACATTTTGGATTTATAGCAGAGCACAAACCTAGTAGTGACTTTGAAAGCAAAGGACAAAACAACAAGGGGAGAAGTCACTAGTTATCAAAGATCCCTTCCTCATCACAAGGGTTTACGGACTTTCCCTCCATCTAAGAACAGTCTGTACCCCTGTGGGTAGTCCCAGTGTGCCCCTTGGCCAGTTGTTATCTCAGGCATGCTCACTTCCTAAACAATTACCCCTTGCGGAAGCCAAGCATATGTAAATCTGTGTTATCCAAAATCCTTTATTTTTTTTTTTCCTGGAACTCCAAACCAATATATTTCCAGCCTGAACAATAGAGAGAGATTTATTTTTCCATTTTGGTGAAAATGAACTTTAAAAAAAAAATTGTGTTGTTTTCTAGTTGCCTCCAATGTCTTAAAATGTTCAATCAGTTCTCTGAATTCCCCAGAACATAATACCTCTGCCAGTGCCACCCTTCCCTCCAGTACCACACTGAGACATTTCCACCCCTCCATCATTCCGGAAATGAGTGTGCTGTTAAGATTTAGTTCCTTGAGCCGGTATAGCTCAGCTGCAGAGCGCCTGCCTGGCAAGCATGAGGTCGTGAGTCATGAGTTCGATTCCTGGTCCAAAAAAAAAAATTAGCTCCTTGGTGGAGTGAATTTATAAAGGGGGATTTTCCACATACAAGTTCTTTCTCTCCCTTGTCATCGAAATGGAAAAAGTCTGCTCACAAGAAGGGGCCCCTGCAGGTGAGGAATCCTCTGCTCTGCCCGGCAGACTGCTGTCCCTAGCCTGCACCCCATTGTCTGTGCAAACTGCGGAGCTGGAGCGCTCAGCTTCACTCTCCACACCCCGAGGGGCCAGAGGCCCTTTCCTTGGCTGAGAGGAAGGGCTCTTGTGAAAGCAGAGTTTGAAAAGCCCCAGTACTGTCATGGTCAAGATCACTAACACCGCCACTGCTATGCTTACAAATACGAAGACCACAGTGGAGGAGTAGTCGAAAGGCTGGGGCCCGGAGGAGGCGGGTGTGGAATTAAATGTGGGGACCATGCTCCCGGTGGCTGTTGGCGTGGTCTCGGGAACAGATGTTGCAGACCTGCCCTGTCCAGGGACATCGGGTGGTCTTTCTCCTGGCTTCTCACGGACTCTAGGAGACCACGTTCTCTTTGGCACCGGGCTGGCTGCAGTGACCGGCTGGCTCCAGGTGGGCACCTTGCTCGCCTCAAGGGCCAGCTGTCCTTCCCTTTTGCTCACACAAGAGCGTCTGTCCTTTCCCAGCTGGAAGCCCGCCGCACATTCGCAGGCAAAGTCTCCCAAGCCGTCCAGGCAGTGAGAAAGCTCCACGCATTTGCCGGCACGAAGGTACCTCCCGGGGCACGGACAGAGCACCGCCCCGGAGGGAAGCTCGTCCCAGCGCGCGCCAGCCTCTTCCACGACACAGGTGGCTTCGACGGAGAGCTCCCCAGGGCAGGTTGCACTCACCTTGGTCCCCGGGGGACTGAAGTCCAGCGCGGAGCTGTGCAGCTGGAAGGGAGCGCGGTAGCTCAAGTTAGAGGCGGCCCCTGGGCGCGGCGCGGGACACAAGTTGTCAAACTGGTACTTGCACAGGTAACCATTGGCGCGCAGGAGGCAGCGCATCTCCTTCCAGCCTGCGGGCTCTACCCCCCTAGTGGCCTGTAGTCCCGCGCACTTGCGCACGGTGCAGGAGCGCTGAGGCTCCTCCACCCAAGGCAGGGTGTCGCTTTCGGACGCGCTGGCGTCGGGGGTCAACCAAGAGAAACCGCGCAAGGGCTCGCTGTCCAGGGTGCAGTGGGAACTCCCGCGCTCCAGCGCCACCCAGAACACCAGGTCTTTGGAACCCCCTCCAGGCCCGGGGCCTGCCCGCAGGAGCGCGAGCACCGCGTTCAGCTCAGAGCCCCCGTGCACCGTGCTGAGCGCCCCGCCGCGCAGGTTGCAGGCCTCCTCCGCGGCAAGCCGCTTGATGGTAGCGTGGTGTAGGCTGTAGCAGGCCCCGGAGGCCAGACAGCCCGCGCGGTCTGCTGTGGGGTGCTCTGCACCGCCAGGCCGGGGCCAGAACGCCTGACAGAGGAGACACAGGGCTAGCGCCGGCCTCATCTTGGAGGCCTGTGCCCGCAGCTGCTCCCAACTTAGATCTGTCGGGCCGAGTGCGCTGAGCTTCCTCTGGAGCGCTGTCACCGCCCTCTGCAGCCGGCTCCCTCCCCTGTCTCCCTCCAGTCCCCTCTCCTCCGCCCTCGTCCCCCAACCTCCAGGAATCCCCACCACAATCCCATCGGCCAGCAGCTTCCCCTAGGCCGCAACAGGAAGCGTGACCTGAGTTCTGCCAGGCCCCAACAGCCTTGATTTATTCTGGGCTTGGAACACAGCTGGCGCCTGAGCTCTAGGAACACACAGTCGTCCGGAAGGTCAAACACCCTGCCTAGCATAAGAGAAAAAAGAAAGTTGCCAGAGGGATGGTGTTTTCGTCTCTCTGCTCAGGGAATTTCAGGACCTCGGGTCCTGGAACACTGTGGAGAAAGAACATTGCCAGGAAGGACTGGGGCAATGAAATTGCTTGTCATCCCAAGGCCCGCCCGCGCATTGTGTTTCTGTGGGGAGCTGGGCGCCAGAATGATTTGTAGATGGCTCTGGGAAGTTTCCAGCGTGGGGTGGGGTGGGAGATATCTTGTGAGAAATCTTAGCATCTTCCTTTTACACCACAGGCGGCTGTAGTTAGCCTCCAATCTCTTCCTGTGTTCTGAGTCTTCCTTCATCAGAGGAAATCCAGGTGTCCTAATTGCTCTTCAAGGAATTTAGAATTTCTTAGCGTTTTTAAGTGGCAAACTCGGTCCACCCTCGCGTTGCATTAAAAGTTTGTTCTTCATTTGCATTTGTTTCTTTTTGAAATGACCCATATTGGCTAAGTCAGGAAAGGAACTCTATATCAAGGCAAAATGAGAAATAATGCCATATGTCATAACTGCTAGGTTGTTAGGTTTCCTTATTACTATATTAGGCTATAACTTCTTCAAGCTTATAAGTTGTGTATAAATGAGTGCATCAACTAATTAATTTTGGAGAACAATTACCCTATGTGTTTCTTCATTCTGGAATTATTTTAATGTAATTTTCTCCTACGATTAAGTGCCAGTATTTATAGCAGAAAGCTGCAAAAGTCTTCTCTCAGGAACATTAAAGATCAACATCCTGAAGAAATTAAAATATTTATTACATTGGAATGTATATAGAATACTGTAAGTCAATCATCCAAAATTTAGGAATGGTTGAGTCCATTTCTTCGAGTTTCAACGAATATTTTGTTTTAATATGAACACTAATTTAGTTGGAAGAGGAAAGGAGTTAAAGACATGTAAAGGAAAGAAAAGTAAAGTCTGTGAGAGGATTTCTTGTTGGAAACTTAGACAACTGTACATCATTTTAGAAAATGTATCACCTCTCTGTCTTGGCTCCCATAACTAAAGTGTTCTAATCAAAAATGCATAAAGGTTTCAGCAAACCCTCCTAGTGATGAATGAGGCTTTTAATCAGAGTAAAAGTTGCCACCCGTGAATAATGCATGCCACCACACTTTAGACTCACTTTTTTGGGCTCCACTGGACTGTTCAGGTTAATGAGGGGCAGGAAGGAGGGTGTCAGGGTTACACCTGCACGCTGCTATCTTATTTTTGCCACTCCCCTCACTCTTCTTTTCCTCCTGGAAAGTCCACATATCTTGGCGAGCAGTGGTAAACATCATGAATTATCACCATACTTGCCTTGCTCTTGCTACTGTGGAGTTTTGCAGCAGGACTTCTCTCCTACCCGTTCCCCTTCCCAGTTTAAAGAACATTCATTAGTCCTTCATTTCAAATATCTGAGACATTTCAACATGGCTTTGCATGTAAATTAAGTAACTTAATATCTTATGAAAAAGAAACATAAAAGTCTGGAAATCAAATTGAGCAAATTTTGAAAATACCTAAATCGCTTGGGCCAGGTCTGCATGCTTTTGCAATCTTGTGACTGTGCATTGGTAAACGTGTTCCTGGAGTGTGGTATATTTCAATAAAACCTTTTCAAAACTTAAGCAGTCAGCAGAAGTTCTTAGCTATTTTGAAAATCACTTGGGATGAGATAAAGATGCTAGAGTAAGAAAGAACCAGTTAATGGAAAGCTTAGTAAATACATGATGTCACCCACTGGAATTCTGCCTAGGGAGGTAGAATATTAGAAAGAAATGAACATTTTGACCATAATGGTTACATATGTTAGCCTTGGCCATGTCTAGAATACAATGATAAACAGTCAGAAACAATTAGCACAAAATAAAATATGTACCACATTGTAATTAATTACTTTGTGTTGATCTGCATATCACTGATAATTTTGAAATATATAGTGTATCTGAAAAATTGGAAATAGAGGAAAGCTTTTATTTTTAAATAGTGTGTTTATTAAAATCATAATAGGATATCATTTTATCTCCAATGGAGTCTAAGTACTCCAAAATCTGATAACAATAAATGTGAATTCATAAACTCTCTTACATGCTATATATTTGAGAGCAAACATTGGAAAATCTTGTGATTTTTCTATATTCTATACCACTTCATGCATAGACATATATGCATTTTGTAAGTCCATGCCTAGAGAAAGTCTTGACATGTACAGTAAGAGATATAGTAGGACTGCTCATACCAACAAAAATCAGAATATGTCAAAATGCCCCCAAATGGCAGATAGACTGTGATACGCTCAAAATTAATGAAACATAGGCACAAATATGAATTAATTTTAGAAACACAAGGCTGACAAAATTTCTAAAAGATTAATATTGAGACAGATATTCTTTTTATAAGATTAAAATTACTATATATGTATATATTATTACATGTATACATATATTTTCTAGGAAAATAAATGCAGTGTAACAAGATAGAAGGAACAATAGGTGTAAGATCCTCATGATGGCTCCGTTGAGAAGAGGGGCAGGAAGGAAGAGGAGCAGATCTGTGAAGGGATCAGGGGCTTTTATGGGGATGTTGTTTTTGTCCTAGGTTTTGTCTTATATAGTGGCTTTAAGGATCATTATTCTATCATTAGAAATAAATAAGTTATGAACAAAAATAAAAATAACCATATTTAGTGAAATGATGGAAGAATGACAAGAACCAAGAATTACAATAACTCTAAACCTGAGTAACAGAGGGTCCCAAACTGCAATCTAGAAATGAAATTGAACTGTTACATCTTCAAAAACTATTCTCAACATTTTGTATTCTTTAATTTTGTATTCTTTTGAAAGAAAAGCATCTTTAAATTTAGGCCAATTATTAATCAGATAAGCACAATAAATACAATATTTCCTGTTTTCTAGAATTTTCACCCTATATAATTGGTAGAATCACATATGATATTTATTTCATTTATTAATTAATACTAGGTCACTCATTGTTCAGACAAAACATAAAAGGAAAGTAAGCTTGGTCCAACATTGTCAATTTAAATATTAATTGAAATTATCCGAACCAGTGATGGAGAAGATAAATTTTCACAAATTACATGTAACCTCATAAGTTTATAAAGTTGTTGATGTTCACCAAATAAATTCTGTCATTGTTGAGAGAAAATAGCATCTGGGTCTTAACATATTTCTGACTTCATTTAAGACATGTATAGAAACACTTCAGATAGAATTGAAAGGAGGCAATATTCCAACCAGCAACATGACATTCAGAACTGTAAGGATCTCTATAGCCTTTTAGAACTGGATGGGACCTTAACCAAATGACCTTTTAAACTCAGTGAGTTGCAAAATTCTCTTTTGTTCTTTTGGCTTTATTAAAAATTTGGGTCCATACACCCTTGTTATTCTCCATGCTGTGCCATGGTTTTGGATATCATCTTTATGCCACAGATGACCAAGCTTATACCTGTACTCCATTCTTCTAGGCTGAGCTCTAAATTAATTTATCCAATATCTATGTAATTTTCCCATTTGGATGTGAGATAGAAAAAAGAAGAAGCAAAGTTATAAGAATCATACTTGTGGGTAACTAAGGTTTAAACTTCCTGGTAACCTACAGAGAGACTCAGAAATCTAACTCAGTATGCACCTCTAAAAGAGGTAAAGCAGGTGAATTCGTTTTCATTCTACTGTTCCTCAACCAGGAAGGTTAATGTTATTAGGTGTTTCCAATAATCTCGAGCACAGGTGTTCTAAGAATACCTATACGCAGAAAGACACCTGAAAGACTGTCCTGAGGATACCTGAAGGCAAAGAGATATAACAGCATTAAATATAGTTGGTCTCAATAACTTAGCCTGCCATAGTCCCACCATCCTTCAACTTTTGGCTTAATTACCCCCTCTCCTGTCCCTGAGGTATAGAGTAGGTCTACTGCTTTTTTTTATCTCTTTGTTCTTTGTGCTTTTTTCTTCATACTGCTATCATAAACATAAATATAATGAGCAAGGCCTTGGGTTTAATCCCCATGGCTGCAAAAGAAGTGAGAATATAGTTACTTGCATGATTTAACACCCATGTGCTCAAATACCAGCAACATTCGCAGTATTGGGCAGATACTAGAAATGCAGGCTTAGCCTCCTTCCACACAAACTGAGTTAAAATGTGCATATTAACAATTTACTTACAGGATCTGTATGTATATTAATAGATTGAGAAGTGTGGCTCCACTGGACTGTATTTTCTTGAGAGTGATGTGTATCTTTGGTATTTATTCCAATCCCTAGTAATGTAGCTGCAAAGCAGCTCTTGATCAAAAACATGCATATGATAGTGCATCTGTGTTTAAGAAGACACTTACACAGTACACACAATATGCCATGCCTGATCCAGCTGTAGCTTCATGTTGTGATCTGTTTTTGGAGAATTTGTATGGTAAGTGTGCTTGCTCGTTGAGCCATGCCTTAAACCCAAAAGTATGTCATTTCCATGGGTGCCTGCAGAATTTCCACTTCACAGAGCTGGAAGAGGGCAGGGGGAAAAATCACAGCTACTTAAAGGGAAATCCTATTAGGCTTATCTGTTATCACTTTGTAAGTACAAGGGATAATCAGCAGTTACCTTAGCATTTGCCTTGTAGAGCCAGTGAAATCTTGTAATTGTTATTAGCTAGCTTAATGGCTGGATCATTTTAAGACCTTTGTATCTGACCACACAGCCAGCACAACAGATTTTATGTTGGCTTGTCTGTTCCAGAGATGTGATTTATTCTAACTATTAAAGGCATTTCAAATCTGATGCATTCAG